AAAAAAAAAAAAAACCGACACGATCCACCAACCCAATTTCGGATGAGGTAGAAGCACAAGGGAAAAAAGGGCTCAAATCGTTCTATTTTATTAGCTGTTGGTTTGATATTCCAACTCAAGAGCAGTTATTTATATTTCTCTTCTATCTTCTATCTGCTTACATTCTCTTTCTTTTCATTCATTTCCTTTTATTAAAAAACTCGAAAAGAAGGCTCATTAAACTTGAACATCTTTCCAATTTCCTCGCAAAACAAATGCAAAGCCTTTTGAAGAATTTATTTATCTCCTTGACCGCTTCTCATTTGGGTTTTTAGGTTGTTGTACAACTCATTCATCTTCGAATCACTTTTCGCTATTTCTCGAAACTTTGAATTAAGTTGGTGTTTAGTACGGTAGTCATCACCTTCACCCAACTCCTTTCGAAATCTTTCAAGAATATGTAGCTAGAAATGTTCATGCTCTTGTGCATTTCTGTGCTTTGAATCCTCCGAAATGTCAACCCAAGATTGTGTCAACACTAACTCTTCTTGCGGAGTCCATGCTTGAGGATTGGACTTTTTTTTCTCTTCTACCGATTGTTTTCCTTCGTCGTGTGGGGGTGGGGGGGTGAGTTTCTTGTACAATTTCATCGTCTGAGTCATACAGGCTTTGGTTTTGTGATTAAGAGTGATAGTGTGGCGTTTAGCTATAGGGTTGATTTGGTGAAAATTGATCGGAAAAAACGACAAAGTTGTTGAACATGTTCGGACTATTTGGTACGTGTTTGGGGTAGTATTGTCTAACATTTTGGTATTGAAATTGTGGATGAGATTGAATGGGGTATTAAGTTAGGGACGATAAACCGGTAGGGATGGATCGAAAACATAAATGTTTTGAGTTGGGGTAATTAAACTCGAAACATGGGTTTTTCTTCTATCGGGTTCTGGGGTTGGATTGTTGAGATTCATTTTTGTTAAGAAATGTGATGGAAATGATAAAAGAAAGTTTGATTTTGAAGGTGAAAAAAATGAAGTATTTATAAGGTTGTAAAAGGGTGTTGTTAATCACACCCAAAAATTGGGTCAAAACCATCCCGTTAATTAAAGTCAAAACCACCTAAACTTAAAACCCAAATTGATATTGATGTATTAACCCAAATTCAAATGATGTTTCTACTTTCCATAATTAACATTATCTTTTTTATTTTCCATCTTTTATATTACGTTTCATTTTCCTTCTCTCTCTCTCTCTCTATA